CCACACTGACAAAAGGAATCGCGCGCTCTTTACGTGCTCGTACACGCGGCTCGCGCTCTCCCTCTGTCTCTCAACGCGAGCACCGGACGAGAGAGAAAAAGAGAGGGAAGGAGCGACGTGACAGTCGCGTCCGATAACCTCGCGCGAGAAACGGTAAATTAGGTGTCAGTGTCGCGACGAGCACCCACGCTGCGAGAGAGTCGAGACAAGGGTTCGTCGTGGTGCAACACGACAGTGGCGTTCGTCGAAGGACGGGAAGCAGCGAGCGGCGGCGACGACGACGACGACGATTTCCTGCGCTGCCCCCTCTCTCTCTCTCTCTCACTCTCTTGATCTCTGTTTCTGTCTCTATCTCTTTTCCCCCCACTCTTCCTCTCTCTCACTCTCTCTCTCTTTCGGTATTCCTTCGTGCGTACACTCTACGGCCGCGCCACGCGGGGGTTCACGTCGACCGCGTCTCGCGAGAACTGTACGCCGAGCTGGCGTCGAGAGGATAACGAGACAGGCATCGAGAGCACGAGACTTGGACGACACGACCTCCGCAATCCGCGGAAGGACTGTCGTCCGACCCGCGTTCACCCGCGCCCCACCATTCGACGCGTCGCGAAAAGCGAGAGCGAGAGAGAGGGAGAGGAAGTGAAAGAGAGCACACGAGAAGGTGAGCGAGGAGGACGGAAGAGCTGTGGGTGAGAGCGAGAGAGAAAGAGGCTGGACGACCTTCCGACGGTGGTACTCGACCTGCGCAAGCGGGAAGAACAGAGACGCCGAAACGCCGCTACGGCCTGGAAGAGGGTGGGCAAGAGCGAGAAGGATACTCCGCAGGACCGTAAGCAGCCGCCACCGACGCCCCGACTACGTCGCCGCTTCGTCGGTAAGTACGTTTCTCTCTTGTTGGTTGGCTCGCGTGCCGAGAACGCTTCCTACCCCTGGCGGGCATCGATCCGCTCGCCGAGATGTTCGAACGAAACGCCGATGCACCACGATATGTGTTTGCTTACGATGACACGCATATCTGCATAATGATACTGACTCATTTCATCCATAAATAATTGTGGGAGACACGTGATTCCCTCTGAGAAATATTTAGGAAGACCAAGGATCGTCGAGTATCTCGCGAACTTAGTTATTCGAAAAATACGGAGATACCAAATCTAGGTCACCTTGTATGCGATATATTTACTTTATCAATTTTGCAACATGCAGAGATGCTCTCGCTGTAAATTATTTCTTCAATCATCGGTCGATTTGACTTGATATTTATACATTTTCGTAACATCCGACAAAATTGTGCGAACGTCTTTCTCGAGAGCGCCCGCGATTATGTCGGGCCTGTTCTCAGTTAGGTTAGTCAGTAATGGTGGGGTTGGGTGTGAGGAGCGAAGGGGGAGGACCGACCACCGAGTCGAACGACCGGTCGAGTTTGCGCACTGGACAAAGTATAACCGGAGTGCAAACTTTTTCCGTGTACCTCGGACCAACTTATGTATCGCGGCTGCGGTAGGTCGGCCTTTAAAACCGCTGCAATTTGTCCTTGAGACGAAAGCCAAATCGGCACCGCATCGGCGAAAACGACGTCCTTCCGCTCCGCACGCGAACGTTTTTCTTTGTCCGTTGTATTGATCCTTTTCAATGCTGGATTTCACTTTCGATAACGCGATTTCCAAGAAACGAAATCGCATAATGAATTTTTTCCCGAAAGTGCTGTAATTTGGCTGATTAATCGTTGATTAATCTCCGTAGAGCCTGGGAGGGAAAGGTCCTTGAATTTTGCTCGAAGTGGAAGTTTCCTAATTAAATTTCCCTGTTTCGGGGCAAGACATTATCTTAGAGATATTGGAAGAATTTTTCCTCGTAGAAATTATATAACTCGTACGCATAAGCTAAGTTTCAACTACATTTCTTCATAACTTCCCTCTCCCCAGTTATTCATTACTGAGACACACGATTAACTTATCAAAGAAGATCAAAATCTTGACTATAATTTTTTTATACAAAGATTTTCCGCGTATTATCTTTATCATTATCTTTACAGAATACACTTGACCTTAATTTTCCTCGCACATTTCGTTAGTATCTTGAACAATAAAGCGGGAGATAGCATCGCAGATAGCATCATCCACCTTCGGATTAAAGATTGGTATGACGCGGAGCGATTTCGTGGAAAATACATAGCGATTCTTCTAACGGTATAGACTTAATCGCGAAGCGATGGTAGTTACTGACGCGTGCAACATTCTTTTGCATGCACTTGAAGCGTACGCTCGCTCAATTATGAAATTGCGTTACTCGGGAAAAGTGGAACAAGTAAACGGATTAAAGGAATGTAATGCACTCGCTGCCCGAGGCGCATCGTTGGACTTTATACGCAAACTTCACATCGAACACATCGATACCTTCATTCGATCGCAATGCCCGCGCGAACGCTCGCTACGCTTTCGTTCTTCCCATTACAATACGTGTTTATGTTACTGCCTTGTAATCGTTACGTTTTGCCGCGACTTTTAAATATTTTCGCCGTCGTGAACACCGTAACCCTTCAACTAAATGACTAAACCGAGCAACGAGATATCGACAGAATGAGCGATCGCGAAACGAGACACGAATGCGAACATCTTGCACGAGCGAACTGGAAGAATTCGTCATTACTTACAAATTATTAAGATTCCTTCCTATCAATATTAACACAGTGTCCAAGGATATATATATTCTGTGTGTATTTTTACATTTTACTTGTAATTTTAGCAAGATATCAAATAATGAAAAACTTGCGGGAGTCTTACTATGGAAAAGGAATTTTTCTTTTTATAACTCGTGTTTTTCTCGCGATGATCGATACGACTTCTTACTTCTGTACAAGTTACTTGATAAAGTAACTCGACGAAATAACCGTGAGTTATTTGCGGCGGTTTAGGATGCAGGACGGTAGCTCGTTTCGGGCGTCTATAGATCGCGTAACACTTTGTAATGCACCGTGGCGGTTCATTTGGGTATTAGGCCATAGTAATGTGTATCCCCGGCTACGAGACATGAAACTTCGCCTACGGCTAATCGAATCAACCAATCCCGCAGCCTCGAGACGCGGAGCCATGCTTTAATTAGTGCCCAACCTCGACCGCTTAATTCACTCGCTTCGACCTTGAAGGTCTTCCCGTCTTGCCATTAACGCGTGTATCCCCGACTCAACCGTTCTCGCGTTTCAACGATAAAATCTCCATTAAAAAGGAGATATACCCGTTCCCCCTCCTCTTCTTCTCTTTTCTTCTTTTTCTCGTCGAATTTCTCACCGCTTTTGATTACGAGTCGCGGACGTGAAAAGTACGCGGCGAGACCGGGATAGACGGCGATGTAAAAATTTATTCGCGCTCGCTTCGTGCTTATTTCGTCCTTATCTGGACGTCGACACGGCGGAATAAGTGCCGACGAAAGAAAAGATAAAAAGAGAATAAGAAGAAATGGAAGGAAGGGGCGCACGGGAAGAGACGACGACGAAGAAGCACGAAGACGTGAAGTAAAGAGAGCGAGAGAAGGGATGAAGTTGGGGAAAGCCGGGGAGGGGGAGCATTAAGACCAGATTGAAAATTGAATTATTAACGAGCGACCTGCCGCCCAGCATGTAAATCATACGGAAATATTACTTTTCTTTCCGAGGGGAAAATGTGGCTCGAACGCGAGACGTCATCCGGATGCAGTTTCGCTCGCGAGCAATCTTCTCTCCCTTCCCCTCTTCTTCTTTCGTATTCTTGAATTCTCTTATCGTTCTCCTTTTTCTGCTTTTTTTTTTCTTTTTTTTTTGCTCGGACCACTCCTCGTTGCTTAAGCGAGCCGCCGTTCCTGTCTAATTTTGCGTTACGTAACGAGTTATCGTCCCCGTGAGACCCACTCGCGCAAAATGCGATGCGCATTATGTGTACAGGGTGTTCGCTTATTGCCGCACTTGCTGTATCATAGACCATATCTCCACGCGTCTACGAATGAAATGTTGAATACCGTCGGCAATAGAATGTTGTATGCTATTACTTCGAACGAGATCTTTTTGTTTACGACGTTGGCCGCGTCTTAGTAACCGAATCTCGAGTTCGGATTTCGATAACAGAAAAATGTGCTTAGAAAGATAGAAGGTCTCACTGTTCAGGCTCGCGTCTTTGAAACTTGATTCGCTAAAATCTCTTATTTTAACCGCTCATGGACTCGGACAGTTGTCGCCATGCGAACCGTCCGAAAAGTAGCATTGCGAAATGAACACCGTATATATCCGCTGGTTAGGAACTCTCAAGCCCCATTGTTTTATTCACCCCCTCTAGCTCTGGCTAGCTAATACTCCGCGTTTAATTGAATACTAAATATCCCTCTATCAGCTCGCGCGAACGTGATATTTCCGTAAGAAACGCCGAGACGACCGTCGCCCACTCGTAGACGCGCTTAACTTTTTCCTCTCGCGTCTTCGATAATTCTCGTGAAATCTCTCGCGCATTGTTAGAGCGTGAAAATGCAGCATACCGCCGCCACGACCCGCTTCCAATATCCGCGAGGGCACTGACAGATGCGCCTGTACTGCAGCAAACCCCGACTGCGAGCTAGTCACGAACGGCCGGTGCACCAGGCGACACGTTGCAAACGCAGAACGTGGTGAATGGGAGAGTTGGAAAGTTATTCGGGACGCGTCACCATTACCACCGGCAACACGCCCCTTTTTACGCCCCAAATCAATTTCTTCTGCAAGACACGCCGATACCTTCTTCTTTTTTTTTATTCGGCCATTTGTTGCGACCTCACGTTGACCCCAATGCGGCTTTTCTAAAAAGAGGAATAGCCAGAAATTGTAACTTAATGATATACGATATAACGGAAAATTTTTATTTTATATATATTACATATTACGTACATTGTGTGTTATATATTGAAGAGTAATATACGTATAATAATTTAATTGTAATAAAAATTCATATTCATATATTATGATATTATATTTAATTTTTGATTTCATTAACGATACATTAATATAGTAAAAATAATTAAACTTTATTTAATGTGTTAATTGTTATATTATTTTTTCATATTGTTTTCTCTATTTTTTCGGGCAACATTGGAGAACCAAATGTATAAAAATGGAGCTTGGAGAAAATAAGCACTGTAGCTACATAACAAATTTGCATACATGTCTTTACGCAATGTTTACGGAATCGCACTCGCCTGTTAAGACACGTGGAATTACACAGCTGGTAATCGCTTATATTGTGGCAAAGACAAACAGCATAATATATTATTACGAGGACAAAAGTGGCGAAGTATTTCGCTTTTGTTTCCACTTTCACAATACGCAGTACGGTACGTCAAAGCTCATTGTTAATGATCACATACGTGCTCAGCGAGAATTACACGCGACTCGTTAAACGGTAATAATTTAAACGCGATACTATAAATGTTTCGCGCGTATAAATGGTCGTTGCAATCGATGGCCGATTAACACGTGACGATTAAAGCGCGAGAGGATGACGCTATTAGTCTTTGTTACCCTTTTTTTCGTCGTTTTAGACGAACTGATGAAATGTTTGTACTCCGATACGGACGCGGGTGATGTAGATTGCGAGCGAGTTACAAATTTTGGCGGCGCATACAGCCCGCGGCAAAGAGGAAAATCAAAAAGTTACACTTTTTTGCGCGCGTCACGTTTTTTCGATGACATTCGCTCAATCCTTTTCAATCAGAGCTGTTATTTTCATTTGCCTGTTTTGATAGTGTGCGCCATGAGTACGCTTAAAACTTAACCGAAATGCGAATGCACGGTTTATCGGTGTACAAAAGTACGAAATTGCCTCGAACATTTAATCACGATCGGAGGATTAAACGAAGACATGAAGGACAAATGCTTCCATTTCCACGGGAAACGGAAACAAAGGGGTATGCGAGTACGGACGCGAATAATTAATTAAGCACTTTCGCGTTGTTCTATACATATGTATTCGTGTTGATCTTGATAAAATATATAAATAGTAAAATCACAATTATTTGCTTCGCGTACGTTGGCTAGCTGTCGAAAGCACACGCTGCTCTGACGGGCAGGAAAGGATCTTTTTTCACGACGACGGACGTTTTTCCCGCCGTGACGCTGCGAGCGAGTATACGCGTAACTGTAAAAATAACGATCGTATATTTACGAAACAAAAATACGTAAAAAGTCATCGGTTCCCGTTCGCCCGAAGGAGGACCGACGTTCTCGCTTCCGGCCATCGGACGACCAATAAACGTGAGTAGAAAATAGTCCGTTCTCTCTTATTCTCTCTCTCTCTCTCTCCAATTATACGAATAACTGCTAAAAACGATTCATCAAACGATATTATAACGTTTAATCGGGTTATGTATATAACTATATTAAACATGCAACGGATGTGCGAGATGGACGTAGCGAAAATAGCTCGAATTATTTTTGTATCATCGAATTTGCGAAATCTATACTGAAGAATTAAAGAGCGTCTCCATGCGCAAGACTGGGTGCTAAACGCTAAAATCGTTCCGCTTGCTATTTTCCTTCACATCGGCTCGCGTGTCCGATACTTATCTCTAGTATATATAATAGATTCGAGTAAGAAGTATATACACAATATCTTGCGTATATACGAGAAATGTCAAGACACTTATGGCAAACGAATGTACACTATGTTATAGAGAGAAAGTAGCGCGATAGTTTACCCGAGGACGATCTCGTATTTCGTATCGATAAGCATTTAATCGCGAAACATACCCGAGGATCGCGTTGAGATACCTTTGCGCGCCGCGTAAGAGTGTCATTTCGAGGCATTCCGACGGCTTTAATTAAACGGGCAGGCCGCAACAGATTTAATTAAAGATTCTGTAAAAATAGATTTTATAGAAAAGTTTCTGATTAAAATGTCTTGGTTTATCTCTAAGGTTTGGGTTTAGACCAAACTGTTTTATTGTCATTGGCAACGTTGATGACCACGGACCACGCTGACGGTTCCTAAAATTAACGACTAATGAAATGACTCGCGGTCTCATCGGACATATGCGAGGAACTACTACGTCAGTCTACGTTGACGATGATCCAATGCGGATCGCTCGACGGCCGAAACGATTGTCTTCTATCTCGGGGATTGCGAGGACAGCCTGGTTGAGCCTCGAAGATCGCCCACGATTCTGGAGATTCTGTCGAATCGCCCGTGCGTTCCGCAGCACGCAGTAACCCTTTCCCTCCGCTTGCGATCGAGTTTTAGCTTCTCCTTATCGCCTGCCACCTCGATCGCGATCCACTTCCTCCTTCTCGCCGGCGAATTAGGACTGCTGAAAGACGAATACGAGAATGTCAGTTAATTCCCCGGTTAATCTCTTTGATGTCGCGTTTGGCTCGAAAATCGTATTTCAAACGGCGAGGATATTTCGTTGCTTCCAGAAAATGAGAATGTTTGAGGATCGCTAATAATTGCGAATTAGCGAATAATGGCTATTGACCGCGCGCTGCATTGCGGTTAATAAATAGCGGCATCGTAAATAACATCTGTCGATAATAATCCTCCATGGTTTTAATCAAGGTGAATGAGAGAGCAGACACTTTTTGCTCTGTCTCTCTGATTAAACCACCGTTTCTGCGCGCGAGCCGTCTATTATGCGCGGATGAAATTAATTCTCCCGAAATCGGAAGTATTATTTTCGTGAAACTAAAAGAATATTTCATTGTACGCTCGTTCTGAGCGACAGATACGGCGAGTCTTGAGACAACGACGGCGCGAGAAAACAAAAGACGGTGACTCGTTCGGGCCTGAGAATCGTCTCGCGCACAGCCTTGTAGGTTGTAGCGATTAAAGTACTTTTATCCTCCTAAAGCCAGATCGCTTTTGTTCGACGGGCTTTCAGACGGTTGTAACCAAACGTCGCAACGGATAAAATCGCGGCCCTCGATCAGAGCGAAATAAGGAGATATATAAGAATAAAATACAATATCTCCGGGACGGATGGCTTTTTCCTTATCCACTTTGGAGCTCGCATCGACGGGTAAACCGACGATGTTAAATCCAGCTCTCCGGTAACGTCCCGTAAAACCAGTTTTACTGAACTTCCTTGCCCACCTAGCGATTTATCGTCGACCTTTACGGCCGGCCCTTACAAGATAATCCGCGTCATGCGAAAAGCCTTGATGCATGGCGGGCATGGCGTTTACATGATAAAGCCACATGAGCCCCCGTTTCTCCCGCATTTTAAAGGGTCGTTTAAAGTCGCACGAAAATGGTCATTAATTTCGCCGAAACGTCGTTAACGAGAATTATTGCCGAGACGGGACGTGGTTCCTCTTACGCGGGATCCGAACGTGTTTCATATCTCATCGATGATGTTAGAGAAAGCGTAGAAAATAAGAATGTTCCCTAAGCCGGTTGTAATTTTCGGTCAAGTCAGTTCGATATCTTTTCAAGCAAAAGATATGAGAAAAGTTTTGAAGCTTACGTCAATCGTCGCGTTTCCGTGACCACGAGTAACGTAGGCATTATTTTCGCGAGATCGTGATGACTGAACCGATTGAAGGTAAACGACAGCTTGATATGAAAATGCATTGCTCAATTGCGACAGCTGGTCGATTCAATAACACCGAGCGAATTTTCCGCACGGTAATTCTATAAAATAAACATAACGGGAGCTATCGATAATGGCGGCTGCGTTTTCGCTCGCATTTTAATATACAACGAAACGTTTACGAGCTAAGCGATTCGGTTCAACTATACAGGGTGTCTGAAACCTTTCTTGGTATCCGTGATGTGTAAATACACTGTTAATCGCGTATCGCCAAAGGTATACGTTGAAATCAAATGAATTTTGCAAAATGATTTTCCTGTTCTACCTGCACACCACCACCGATACTAAGAAAGATTTCAGACACCCTGTATATTCAACGTGCGCGCGATCTACTCGCGCATTCGTCTCACCTCCGGCTTCTGGCTCTCCAGGCTGTTGAGGGCGACCGCCTCGGGAACGGGTTCCTCCTCGACCTTATCCGGAACGCCGAAGACGGTCTTGTACATGAAGGCGGAAAACAGGCTACCGGCGATCGGGCCGAACCAGTAGATCCAGTGACGCGCCCACTGATTGTTCCACAATGCCGGTGCGAATGACCTCGCCGGGTTTATACTACAGCCGGTATAAGGGCCGACCGCCATCGCCAGTACGGCCACCGTGAGACCGAACTTGAGTGGCACCGAGTCCGTGTTCTTCTCGTTTCTGACGTCCCAGACGGAGCACACGAGCAGCATCAGAACGCCGGTGGCGATGGCTTCGAGAAGGAAGCCCTGAATCGCGGACATGCTGCCGTGTACATCGGTCACACAAAACATATCGGCCTGTTCGACCGTGCCGGCTGTCAGTTTCTCCGTCGGTGTTACCACCTGCGAATCGTCGAAGAACCGTGCTCGGATGACGGAATAAGTAGAAAACGTCATTACATTCGAAGATTTTATCGAAGTGTTCGCGACCAAGTGATTAGTGGTTGAATCGCGCGTGACGGGAATTGAACAGTCGTTCTTTAATCACGAGTCATCTTTTTCGGTGCTTGAATTAGAGACGGAAATTGCAGTCCGCTGTTTTGCGAGAAGGGAGAAGAGCGAAAAGGCGCATCGGCCGATTTTATATATCACGGTGCCTTTTCACATTCAATTTAATCATTTTTCCTCTTGGCCGAAATTAAAACTGTTATCTTTCGACTCGCATTGTTTGCCTCTCGTTTATCGCGAAACAAAATAACGCGCCGGGTTTCATTGTGGATAGAAGTGAAACAAATGCTATGGAAATGTGGACGAATAAAAAAACGCATCGTTTATTACTTGCGAAAGCAAACACTTCGATAAAAGTTTCGGATACACAATGACTTTTATTTTTATTTATTGCGCAGAGAAAGAGTGTGTACGCGCGCTGCAAAATTGTGAATATATTAAATAGCTGTCGACTGCGACAATAACAAGGGATATTTGCGACACACTCGGCGGTTTGGAAATACGCCGTATTTCGCCTCGTTCCCTTATTTCAGAAGAAATATTTCCGCTTCCGCACCATCATCATTCACCGCGCCTTTGTTTACGTGACCGTGTTCATTGTTTCCACGATGAATATCGAACGACGGCCCGTAGTTTTCCGCGATCAATGAACCTCGAGGAATGCATTTTTCTATTATATGTGTGCGGAGGCAAAGAGAGCCCTTCGTTTTGCTCGGATTTATCTGAATATTGCCGCGTCGACGTCTTACTGCGCGAAACAGATACCCCGGCGGCAAGCCTCTCCTCTGATTACGCGAAAGCGTTCGTTATTAATTGGACAACACGTGCGCTGAATTGCAGATTAAGCAAAGGTCGCGAACCGCGTCTCGCTAAGTACTGATACCATCCGGCAGATTCTCGGTTTATTTTGTCCCGTTCTGTGCAACCCCATAAATATCTGCCGCCTGTCTCGCCCTGCTCGATAATCGGTCCTTCAATTGAAAAGTCATCGTGCAAAATGTTAATCGCACCTTCAAGAAAACTCACGTTCTCCTCATATGTGTGTATGTTCCCCCGTTTCGATAATATTTAATCTGAATTACAACAGACGCGTTGAAAGCCATATGTGTCAATACGATGGGAGTAAAAATTTTATTTACGCAGCGGATATCTCTCTCTCTCTCTCTCTCTCTCGTGTACACTCGGTTACCCCGGCTCTTAACCGAGCATCGTCTATTTCATAATGCACGCTTCAATACACTATATCGTTAAAGCTTCCATTATATTCGTAAAATCAAACGCTATTATCGCTTGACTGAACAATTCGAGGCGAAGCGACACGTTCTAAACCAACGAATATAAATTTAAGTAAATCTTCCATTTTTACACTTATCTTCGCTAAGTTACAACTTTATTCGACCGTAATCTTTAGAGTAGCCACTTGAATCAACCTATTTTTCTTCGTTGGTATATAATTAATCGCTCGGCTAGTTATGCTCTCGGCGGAAGAGAATAATTAGATTTTCTTATACCTTCAGTATACCGAAGCCCAGAATACCGCCAATAATCTGCGATACGATGTAAATTAAAGCCTCGAGAATGGACTTTTTCCCGAGGACGACGGCACCCATGGTGACTGCAGGATTGATGTGAGCTTGACTGATGTGACCGATGCACTGAAAACGAAATCGGGGAAAATTATTGATCGAGTGAATCAACACATAATCATTAGTGTTTCGAAAAAAATAACTCTTTTCTTTCTTTGTCCGACGTTTTATCGATCCAAGCGTCGTGACTAGAGATACAAAATTACGCGCCATGTGAAAGCCAATGATATGCACATCACAGGCGCGTTGGAAGAATCGGAGCATTCGTTAAGAAACCACGACATGAACTCGCCAGAGGTTTCATCGGTGTGCGCAGTTTGCGAGCGAAAGGCGACGTATAAATGCGGTATAGCGCAGTGAAACGCGGCCTTTGACGCCAGGCATCACGCGAGCCTCGATACGCGAGTAATAAATCTCGATCTCGGGTCGCTTTAGTTGACGAGGAACCGGATTAATTTCGAATTTTTGGGCCCACACTTAGCGGGACCGACTGTCACGCATTTTCATCGTCTCGAGCGGAGCCGACTCCTCGGACACCTCGGCGCCAGCCGATCGTACGAGCGACCGGTTTTATTTAATCATGGAAATCACGCGGGTGTGTGTGTGTGTGTGTGTATTTTGGGCACAATTGCGCGCAGGATTATGTAAATCGTGCCCCGTCTGCGTTGTCTCCCGCCATATGGTGCGACGCGGTCGTATGTTTCTATCAGACTCCGAGCGAATATAAGACTATGGTGGCGAGAGAAACGACCGAGTGCACCGGCCGAGGATTGCCGACCCACATACTGACCTGAACCACAATCGAAACGACGAAGCCGAAGGTTAGCGATATTTGCACATGAGGAGGTGCTACGCCGAGACTACCCACGCATCCCATGCATCCCAGGAACACCAGGAGAGCCGTGCCAATCAGCTCTGCCAATCCGCAGAGCAGATTCCTCTTCATCGTGCCCTCTCCTTGCATCCATTTCTTGAATCCTGAAAGGCAGGATGTTCTCCGTTAACTGGACGATCCAACGTCGAAATAGAATCCGTGGTCGGAGCGACTGTCAAATCGGGTGGGAGGACGATATAGCTCAGTGACACGAGGACAATTGAAAATACTCGAGATATTGATGAATGAAATACTTATAAGAGTATCAGGTTTACGTTGCGCCCGGACGAAATCTCTTCCCGCGCTCCTCAGGTTCCGTTACTGCGCGGCGATTTCTCAGATACCTTCCGCGTGGAAAGGAGTAGGCTGCTGGACTTGCCATTTCTCGATCCGCCATCTGCATTGAACTTTTCCTCCCGAGGAATTTCCCGAAAGTAGCCGCGAATATACGCAATAGTCACACGCCGACGGTCTTGACCTGTCCAGCAGCCCACCTAATCTACGCGATTACGTTACTCGCCTCTCTCTTTGCGGCGATTCCGGTACATTTTGTACGCACACGGGCGACTAACGTGACACTACCTGTACGACTATCACCGATGGAACAGCTTTCGAGAAAGGTAGATACCGTGCGGCGTCGTATCGCCGCTAGCGAACAAGGTCGTCGCACGACGTCATTTTACTTGTGCACGCGCTAGTAAGTAACTTGTCCGTCGGAGAAAAAAGACCGCTTTGGTTCACGCAGACCGCTGTTTGATTGACGCAGTCGTTACTTTGCATCGGCTTAAATCAAACGCAAATAGCTAAATCAGCTGATTACATTACTCGCTGACAGGCGTTTAATTATGCAAAACCGTGACACTCGTCGCTGTGCAACTTCAAAGAACGTCACGCTTCGAATATCGTCGCGCTAAATTTGTGAGAAACTTACTCCGGCTCGTGGATTTAATGAAACATGTGCGTTTTCAAGAACATGTCTTCGAGAGAACAACAGAAATGTTCACAGAAATCAAAATCTCACAAGTTGTACTCTAGATAATACGCTGCATCTTTTGTGATTTTAACCCGGTAGTAGTCCTTATTTTTTTTTTTTTTACGTAAACAACTTTTAAACTTTTAAATATGCTATTCCATCAAAAATAAGCAATAAAACAATATTTTTTTAAATTGATATCTTCATTCATTTGAAATACTATCATAATAAGATACTTGATGTGCTTATTCTATTTCTTAAATATTCTTTGGTTTCTCCAAATCTTTTTCAAAACGCAGCGAGCAAATCTATATCTATAATGTTCCCAAATCATAGAATAATGGTTAATATGCTCTATTTTGTGTTAATAATAGCGGCTTTTAATTGAGGCCTAAAATGACCCCAGTTGACTGTTCCCGAGTTAACAATTGAAAGAACCGAGAAGGAAATCATAATAATAAGCTTTATTTTAACTAACAATAGTTATGATCAAGTCAATAATAATTATTATCAAGTAAAAAATAATCCCCTTAAAGGTTGCAACGCAATAATCGAAATTATCTGGATATAAAGGCATTTGCATGTAACAAATTTTTAGTCGTAATCGTAAGAAAATTAACTAACTAATTGATTATTTTTCGACCGAAAGGAGAATAATCGATTGTGATTGGTCAGTTTTCTTATGAACTTACGGTTACGACAAAAATTATTATATGCTTTCACCATCCATTTTACGTTAGATAATGGAAAGAAGAGTTAACGAAGCAAACAAGAACATTCAATAAAGAGTGTCAGATGATGAGGTAACGATAACGTGAAATAATCTTTATCTGCCTTATTTTCGGAGGCAGAACGGTTAACTCTCTTATCGCAAGATATATACGTAAAGCAGTGAAGAGTTACAGTTAAATTTGCGTTAAGGAACAAGTGTCATTGTAATTTATGCTTAACTCATCCGTGATGATATATCGCACTGTCACACGATATCTTATATGCAAACATATATAAAATGTACTCGCGTCTTAATCACTACTATTAGTATTAAACTTCCAGATTCGACTTAATAAACAGGGCAATTTTGTCACATCACGTTGAAAAAACCGAAAATCATCGGCACATAACTTTTATGTCAAGTGATATGTTGTAAACAATCTTCCTGCCGCAAATGAATTAAAATGCTGCACCAACAATTCGGGTTACCGTTAGGGTGTACATACTTTTCATTTGTAAAAGAATTCGGATCGTCAAAAATTCCACAAGCACCGATCAGCTATATTGAATAATCGTCGAGCATCGGCGTTGTGAATGTAAGCGATTTGTGATATATACCAAACGTAGAATTCTGTCATCGATCGGATATGATTGTTCCTCCCTTGTCGTATCAAAAAAACAATTATCCTCTCGCGATCCGGCCGTTATAAAATATTCTACGGTTCATGTTCGTTGAAAACGTTTTTTAATACTATTGTTCCCGCGCGATGAAAATAACCCAACGTTTGTAAATAAATCAAATCGTATCGCTAGTATGCTAATTACCGACGATGTCTATTTCTCAATTGACGGAAATGTTGTAAATGACAAATCTGTTAACGTATCGATACGTTTAACTCTCAATGGAAACGACGAGTGAGCCATAAAAACTGGTATTGACATAAATCGACATCGGATTACGAAACTTGCGGCAATTCGCGACTCGGTTGCAGCGACGTCGGATGCAGACTCCTAATGCGGAAAATAATATAATTGGCAGATAAAAGAGAAACCGGGTAATTAATTACGATTTTTACGAAGCAGTTTTTATCTCAGTTTTTACGAAGTGAGAGCTCGCACGTAAAACATACTGTAGGGACGGATTCGATTTAGCGAGGAAAAACCGCCCTGCACCGTATAATTCAAATAATATTTATTTCACAATTTATTGTAACGTAACGAAATATTATCCTTTTGTTTCTATCTTTTCGTTCTCTTTGAGAAATCGAGTTCTGCACGATGTTGTAATTACACGAACAATAAATGACCCGGTAAAACGCGGATCTATCAATTTCTATCTATCAATTTCTATTTCCGTATGTGCTGTTGTAAAATAGAAAATATAGTGACTTATTCGTGGAATTGTTCTGCTTCTCTGAGTGGATAATAAAAACCTGAATAACGTTTCCGTAATGTCTTTGCCATATTTGCTAGTCTATGTAAATTTCATGGCGCCAATAAATTATTGCATAGTTTCTTTCTAATATACCGAAGAAATCTTGATCTATATGTTTACGACTATGCAATTATTACATCATAGACGATCGAACTCGCGGATAGATCGGTGATGAGATATCTGAATTTTATCATAAATGACGGATGAAAAGTCAAGCACGTAATGTGATTTCGCTTTCAAAACCTGCTGATAATTCTTATCCGCTGATAATAAACGCATCGCGTGATAAAAACGGATGAATGTTTTTCTAAAAAACAGAGCCTACGCATATAAAATCTTTCCTCGCTATTTCCTCACTATTTCCGGCCGATTTGATAAAAAGGCATGGAACCGTCCGAAAGTTCAATGAACGTTGTTCGTTTACAGAAATCGTATATTTATCGTATATCATTGACTTAACAATTTCTTTCTTCAGTGCATAATTATATACAGTCAGCTGCACGTTATTCATAATTCTGTTAATAGATGTCGTATATGTAAAACTTCTGGATGTTAATGTTAGTAATACATTAGGTTAAAATGCTTTGAAGATTAGATTAGATATTTTGAACAAGTGAAGTTTCCTAGAAGATGGTTTGGCCCTGATACTAGTTTCAGCACAGTTTTACGGTAGAGATTTCATAACTATCTTTGAAATCTTTGTTTGCTCGATTCTGCAATCTGTTGGAAAATAGCAGAAATAATCAATTTTGCCAATTTACTCCTTTAGCCAACTAGCTCCGGTCTCTCCTGCAATCGATCATAGGACGTTTGCGAGGTTTTTTTTTTTACAAAACATGTAAAAAATTTCAAAACATGTAAAAAGATAAGACTAAGCGAATTTATGATTCACAAATATACGTAGTAGATAGGCAGCTGTCAAAGTTACATATACACATAAATACATATGTTTATAAATTACATATGTATATATGTAATTACATATGTATATGCAATTTTCACACAGCTATCTATCTACTGCGTATGTTCTTGATTTATAGGTTTGCTTCGTCATCATTTTTGTATATTCCAAAACATGTCAAAGAAAAACTATTGCAGCTGTCTTGCGACCGACTGTATTTAGCTACTATATAATTACACTCGATAAATAATGTTTTATATCCGGCTCATGCGTCGCCAGTAAACTTCATCTATCACGCACTTCCACGAAGTTCTCTTCAGACCGCGAGTCATTCGGTCATTCGATTTTTTTATGTTCAAGTTGTGGAATTGCATATTCATCGTATTACGTTTAATTTACTACCGACAGATTCGACACGCAAGTTTCTGCATAAAGGAAAATCGCTTCATCCAGCTCAGTAGAAAGAATATTCTAGTCTAATCGTTGTAGCTCTTAACTCCTTATCGACACGACCAGGCCGCAACACGCCCGTGATATTTTCAATGTTCAACGATCATTAATTGAACGGATAATGACGCGTGCGATAGAAACGATCTTGCGCAGTCGATTCATTTTTATAGCACCGTACTCCGATACGGTGATGAAAATTAACATCTAAGCGCGCATCCGGTGCACACGTGCGGCAATGCGCATCGCACGCGAAATCACCGAGATTACGCGGTAATTTTTAACGCTGCGTTTATCACCGATAAATCGCACGTCGGCCGCTGCGAACCGATCGTTAGCGGCGCGACGCTCGCTGCAGAGCGGCATGGATGGATGCATCGGGGCGCGCAAGAAGACACGCTTGTGCGCCTTTAATCGCCACTCAAGGAGGACGATCGTCCTCCCACTAACGAAGCTTTAATCTACGATCTGCATACAATCGGTTAATTTCGCGGGAGCGCCGCCAAGAGATTACGCGGCAATTAGCCGGCATAATCCGTCCGTTAGACCGATAAACGGCGTTATACGTATACGTACGGCCAAGCGCAAGTTAAACCGACACAAATTAACTAATGATCCGTAACACGGTGCGTACACGACGATAAGTCGGCGTGCGTCTTTTTGTTGGCTCCAAGGCTGCAGGGGGATCGATTTTCCTTTGTTTATATCACTGCGACAAGCCGGGTTTTCTCGTCGTCAATTTTCGACACTCTTCTCAGGCTGCGCTGCTTTTCCGAAAGCGATCCGAACGGTTCCCGAGTCCCGAAATTCTCGTTCTACCTTAAGTCTTCAAGTGGAGAAACCGGAATTAACTTCATATTTGTAGCATCAAAGGGATACCTCTCTGCACGCTTCGCGAAAACTGAACTGTGTAGTGTTGTTCGTGGTAATTTTTACTTTCGCCTAAGTAAAAATTCAATCGTTTTGACCTTATAATTATGTAATCACGTCATTAGTTTTTTTATTCCAGTAGCCGATAATAAACGTTTGCGCGCAGCTCAAGCACTCTTGAGGAACTTGCGTCATCGCGTGACGGTTGAATCGTGTAGCAAGTTCGCGCTCGTCAATAGCATCGTGCATCGATGTTATGAGATGTACGCTAGAAGAGAGCAAGAATGCAAAAATTATCGTTTAACCTTCAGCGATAAACGAGTTTTCCTTTTATTCGTTTTTAAGGAAGCGAAAATATCTCATGGAGGAACATTTCTAATTAGCTCGCCGATATTATGTAATTACATCGGGTTCGCCACCGCGAATTACGCAGGTTGCACGACGAAGACAAAGGCGTGGGAAGGATTTCGACGACGAGAAGTGTTACGCGGCTAGAAGCGACATTCACGCTTTAATTCTGCAGAATTTCCACGTTTCCATCCGGCCCGCGTAATTTTATTCCAGCCGTGCTCACTCAGTCTTCGTATCCTCGAGCGCAATAATACATTCAAGGCGCCTAATCTCTTCGTTGTCTCATCGATCAACTTCTAAAACTAATATTGACAACGTTTCTCGTTCTATTTGTATCGGCGTTAAGTTATGCAAGGATACATTTTCGGAAGGATGGAGGTTTCCCCTTTTCGCCTAGTGCGATTAACACACACTCCTTAATTATAGATCAGCGTTTACTTACAGCGGAATTGAGATAACCGCAAAACAGCTTCGCCATTTGTATATATATGTCGATATCGGAATGAATGTGTTACCACACTAAAGCGATAAAGACCGGCGATACGGCCATATCGTCGAGTTGAAAGTCTAATCACATGCTGACCGTTGTATAAATATTCTCACCAAATGATTTCGCGCTGTTGGAATGACGTAAATATGTCAATCATCGTAAATAGTTCACAATTCCAAAAATTTTCGCATATGGCTCAAATTTAAATAAAGACGAGACTAGAAAATCTATCACGTGAACTGCCATGACATAGCTTATTAACACATTAACGTATTATATTAATACATGAAATTAATTACTTTAATTTAAATTATTCGTAATACGAACATTTGGTTTTAGTCAATTTGACTGTTTTATATGTCAAAATTTATGATTATATTAACTTATATCAATGTTTATGCCACAAAAAGTATAGTACACTTCTAAAGAAGAACTAAGTTAAGTGGTACGATAACACTTGGTTAACGAAGGTTTCCGTTTGCAACAGATATGGAGTAATATCGATAGGTCGACTATCATGAGATGAAAGAGAGAGAAAGAAAGACTTTATCGTCAATACGATGTTTCTTATCATATCGGTTAAGCAAAGAGAGACGAGCCATTTCACTTCTCACTACTGTAAACTTCGTGCCTGATAAGTTGTGAAAAAAGACAAGGCGAAAGCTTGAAAAATCGTTGTACCTCGAGACGTGTTGCTGAAGAAAAGTGCACTTGATGTGCGCTCGTTCTGTTGTCTGTATCAACGAAACAATTTCTCAAGATACGTCGATAAAAATAGTGTTCCTGTCTGAACGGATGGAGGAGAAATCCTTGAAATTATACGCCACGATCTCGGAGCGGAATATTCGCGAATTCGATGTGCAGAAATTTCAGAGATATGGAATACGCCGCGTTATAATATCTGGAGCTATCTTTCTTGAAGTAGTTACGTTGTAGCAATTGTCAGTGAACGAAATTAGAACTTCGCGTATCGTTAGATGAAATTGTAATTTGACTGTGTTACGAGCTTAACAAATTAATCGTGCAAGAACGAAATTGCGACGTGAGCGATGTGTAACGTCGGCGAAATCCATGACGTGTGGTATAATTTTTATCACTCTAAAATTTCCCCGTGATAATACAGTTGAAATTTCAATAGTGTGAGAATGAAAAGAAAACGCTCGTTGCTATGTACGCGAAATCTTCATTTTGCACGGTATGGTGCGCGAGGTAATGCGCCGGCCAACACGTGTATCGCGTAATTATCACGTAGAAGAGAGAATTGTCATGATCGGCGCGTCGATTATAATATTATATAAACATGAGCTCCCCTGTTGCAACAGATTGTGCCTAACATATCGCGTGCTTGCTTTATACGCGGACGTCGATCATAAACGTGTGCGCGCGTTAACGACAAAATTGCTCACGATAATATTTATATACTCTATCATCCAAATCACACACCAATTTGAAAATTCGTAAAATATATATATTTACATCCGGCGTAAATATATTAATTGAAATCCCAACGAACGCATGTAATGCGTACATAATACACATACATTGTACCAATCCAATAGTATGAAAATTTACGATATCAAACACCGCGACACAAAATCAAATTTAATTTCACAGATTGTTTTGTCTGTCAGAACCGTGTCGATAATTATTATCTTTCATAAGTTGTTCGATGTTGTCGTGAAATCGTGTTAAAGAATGCACTTTGATCTACGAGTGATTGGAGACGAGAAAAATGAAGTGATAGTGAGCATCGGCGCAAACACGCGGAAAAAAAATTCTTCATTCGTGTGACTGATTTTCTGTTGTCTGGGGACGAAAACTCGTTTGTAGGAATAAGAAGATTCCTATAGGAGATTTTGATTCGGTCAATTGTTCTCACTTATCTCAATCAAGTTTTAATGCAGCCAAAAATATTCAAACAAATATTTCCAGTCGCGATAACAGAAACATCGTTTCTTCTTTGTCACCCAGTTTTCGTCTTGTCCCGTCGTGTTACGCGAATTGAAATTTTTTCATGCACGAGAAATCAAGAATCGCGAAGAATAATCCGAAAAATCTGCCGGTATTTTCGCACGGTAATTATTTTCGCGCTTACTTTAATCGCGCTTTCGTTCTCTACTTCCACCTCTACCGTTTTCGTGTTTTTTTTTTCTTTTTTCGATATTTAATCCGAAAGAAGAGATTTTTTACACTAATCTATCGCATATGGCAAAGCCACGGAGTCAAAGTCGCAGGATTCTATTTCGAGTTCGTTAAAGTGGAAGTCGAAGGTGAAAACCATTTTGGTATTTGAGCTAAGGTCGACGGCCCGAAGTTATGGAGTCACTTACTCGCAGAATGGCAACGCTACTGCCACTTCCATTGACGATCACGAAATACGAGACGAATCACTACCGTGTCACAGAGAAGTTCCGCTCACACGCAATCTAACCCTGAAATAGGGTTTCGAAATAGCTGCGTCGCATAAAGCGCCCATTAGCGTGCAACCTAACTAATTTAATATAGTTAATTAACAAATGGCTCCATTTGTGAAACTTCCGCCTCTCATTGCACTCAACTTCGCCGAAACGTTCATATAAATTCTTACTTGATCGTTTGTTATTAACGTTCAAACGCTATTTCCGCCATGATAGATAGAAAAGCACACGGGAATTTACATGCAGCGTCTCTTACATTTAGCATTTCAGTTATAACCTTCTCATTTATTCATTTCGTTTTACGATCGTTTTAACTTCACCCGCGAAATCAAATTGGAGAATATCTTTCCGCTGCAATTGCGCCGCACGGAAAAACGCAAGCACCCATTATCGGCGATTTTTAAATTAACTTAATATCTAATAGATTCCAGAATTAATTATGAGTACGTCCGGGCAGTTGGACTTTGTTTCGCCGGTGTGCAAACTGTGTCACGCTTCCTCTTCCGATATTCGCATTCCGATAGATTGCATGTATATTGATAGCGCTTTTAGCGCCTTAACGTACACCTTCGAACTTATTCTGAATTTTTATCATGCTTATATCAGACGTTTGATGGATGACTTCGTTAGAACTGGTTAAAGTTCTAGAAAGAAAAAACAAGAAAACGCTCACAATTTCGCAAGAACGTACTCTCCAAAACGCAATCAATATATCATCATTGAGAATTGTCACTAGTGATCATAATTACAAGTGTCGCAAATCAGTAAAATTTCGCTGCAAATTACGCTCATTTAAAACGTTTAATCGTGTTAAATTATAAATTAACACGTTCAATCGTGTCAAGCGACGTGACTTAAAACGGCAAGAAATATGTAAGAAAAGCCTCAGTTAAAATAACAGACTTGAATTTGCAACGTGCTTACTGATTTATCGATAGATTACTGTTTCACTGGTTCAATTAGTCACACGATTTTCACCGATTCGATTTATAAGATATTAGGAAACGCTCAGGCGATGATTACACTCGAAAATAACACATTTTATTTTCACGATATAATAACAGCGTGCGTCTCGATAACGTCCCGAACATGCGATTCCGAACGTGGCTATTCGTACCACGTGCTCTAATTATGACGGTGAAATTCTATTTCGGTCCGCGATTTACTCGCCACCACTTGTTAACCGCGCGTCTGCCGACCGTCCCTCGACGAGAGCTAAGACATTCCCCGTTAAAGGCGGACTTACCTGCGCGAAAATCGGCCGGCATGACGGCGTAATGTCGGGTGACCCGCGGGGCGGCACAACACTACGAAACACAAACGTGTTCCCGCGATGGAACTTCCGATTCGGTCAAGATCACCGGAGGGCTACCAGAGAGACCCGCACACTCCGTCCGACAGTCTCTTTATAAACGATCGTAAGTCCGTTTCTATCGCGGAGGACACGTGGCCACTCTTCAATGTAACGCACGCGTGCTCGCGCTCCCTACTTCGGCCTCTCGCTGCTCGTGCGTGCACATCAAAATCAGGCGGGGATGCTAATTTCAGACTCACGTGGGAAATAGCAAGGCGTTACCGTATATCGCCGTGTTGTTTGCGTCGCGACGATTCGTGCTGCCGGCTCAGTCGAAGTCGCTTTGTTTCCACGTATATGCGTATGTATCTTCGGCCGCGGGCGCGTTGTGTCGACACCGTTGCGACATGATTTGTGGAACGGCTTCTGACATCTCGTCGACACGTTGCCAAGTAAACAATCACGCCGCAATGAGAGATATTCGCGACCTTCGTTATTTGATTTGTGCCGAATATCTCCTCCAGAATATAGACTGCAGTCTCGGAGGATACTAATTTTGGAATGGGGAATTTATAGCGTCGCGTGTTTCGTGCGACAATGCGCCCCGCTTTCTGGACCATCGCTATTTTTATATGCCGTTGGCGCGCAAGATAGGCGCGACAAAATCACACGGATTTTCAAAGTTCGATTATACGAACGACTGTCGGGTGTTTGCTCTTTCAAATTTTATATATATTTATATATACAGGGTGTAACTGAAATCGAGAGCGAGCTCCCCAAAACGTGAAAAAAATTCATATCAACATATATCCGCGAACCAGCAGACATTATAACATTCTTCGAGCCGACGTTTCGCGATGCGTGCTTCTCATTTAAATAAGTTGTCAATGGGCGGAATTACACATTCGTCCCGGAAGTAATTTCTTCGAAGAGTCACTTGAAGAGCGCGTACCTTCCCAATACGCGTTAGAGGTGCGTGCCAGAGAAGGAAACCACAAAACTCATTAAAATGTCGCATCGAATTTATTTAATTCGCACCCCGCCATTACAGTTTGAGAACTCGTACACGCCGCGCTCGACAGTCGTGTAATCCAAAATTCGAATCCACCGCCGTTCGCGCGCAGACGAACCCTGCGAATTCGCTGACCGAAATCTACCGCGCATTTACGCACTCGGGCTCTTAAAGTTATTGTTATCCACAACGGGGAATAAAATGGAAAGCGACGGGTTCTCTCTATCGCGTATCTTATATTTACATATACATTAAGCCGCAAACGTAATTGCAATCGCGTACACATGTACAGGCGCACGCACACACGCAGGCATTACACACTTTCGCTCGCATACAGACATACTACCGAGTACAATTAAAACTTTGGCGCGACCGACGGCGATGGAGGTAATTTCCTGAATTCACCGAGACTAATTCCGTTATTTCGAATTTCGTCGCAGCAGGGATAAGAGAGGGCCGTCGCGTTATGCTCCGCGAGAACAGCCACCTTGGCCTTAACGAGCTGCATCGCGTACATGCGCGATATAATGGCGGCGAATTTAGTAGAATGCGAGCGAACGGACCGGTCGAGTCTGTAACCCATAAATTCGCTAATAATTAATAAAAAGCGCGGCGATACAGCTGCAGCGGCTCTACCGCATAATGCATGTGAGATTTCTTTTTCGTGCGCTTCGCGTTACAAAGAGAAGAAGTAAACGGGTAGCATAAATTCGCCGTATCGGTGTGTGTGTATGTGTGTATGCACGTCTAACACCGGTACGTCGCTCGCACGAACGCAACCGCGGGACACCACGTGTAGTTTCTTTGTAACTAAGAAAGCAACAAAGGCGAAGCGAGAGGAAAAAAGGGAATTGTGTAGTTAAAGACGAGAATTTGCCACTCGAGGAAACTGCACAAAAATCAGTAGGAGACAAGAATTAGAAACGAACGTGAAAGGAATACATTGGATAAGAAAGGTGGCTAGAGTGGCGGCATAATAATAGCGAAGATGAGCACTTGGAAAAACAAGGAAACAATGGTGACGAAGAAAAGTATAAATTGAAACGAAATAAACCGTTCGTAAAGAATGACCTCACAAAGATAGAAAAAGACATTCAAAGAAAAATTTGTAGAGATGGCGAGAGCAGAGGGAAAAATCTGGATCGTAAATAAGGATCGGATGTAGGACAATACGAGTAAAATGAAGGAAAGTTAGCGGAGGACTTAAAAAAGACAAATTTTCGGAGTCAACGTGACTCCGCAAATTTGTCTATCTAAACTGGCTGGACAACATTTCGAATAAACTTCTAATGTGAATGTTTGAAATGCAAAATACAATCTCTTTTATTTTGTATTTTCCGAGTAAAATGTATTCAAATATTTTTTTTTACTCGTATAATTATTATATAACTGTTATATATAACTATTTTGTGCAAGTCACTTGGAATGTTATTTCGCGTGTTATTAATTGGAATAAACATTTCAGCGCTCGGAGCGCTTTTTAATTCGTATTTTGCATTTTGTTTGCTTAAAATGTAGTTCTGCCCAGCCGTGATACGGACTAAAGGTAAACAAAAAGTAATTATCATAATGAATGCGAGATTTTACGTCTACGACATAGAGGCGAACGGAGAGGGTATGCTTCACGACGTCCCCATTTTACAAATGTATAACGTCGTATTTTTGTACAAAAACAATCCGTCAGATCAGTCTATAGTCGAGAAGTCCTCGCCGCGTGGCAGTCGCGATCCTCCCGGGCCGCAGGGTGCACGAATGAGACGTATCCGAGCGCCTTGGAAGTAAAAATCCGTAAAGTTCGATGCCTGTCCGATCTGCTTCCGTTGCTCCGCACGAGAGAGTTTCCGCCGGAACTTTCACAACGTCCTCTCTTTTTCAACCGGGGAAAATACCAGCGCGATCAGGATTTCTCGTTCAATTTGTGAACCACCGACAACCGGAATGCAATTTCGCTCGCTGAAAGAGGAAACGCACGATGTAAGTTCGATTCGACGATCTTCCGGTGAATGTGACGTTACGTCGCACGAAAATATCCAGAAGATATTTGGAAGGGCGGAATAAACGGAGGCTGCTGATAGGACTATCGCGATTAAGAATGATTCGCAGCACGCATACGAACAAGAATCGCCGATGGCGTCGAATCGCCCGTCTGCTGTCGATTGCAACTTGCAACTCAGAAATGAATAATAAATGAATGAGAGATCAGAAAAGTATTATTTAATACTCTTCTAAGAAACTATTTCGCTTAGAAAAAACGGCGATACAAAGTGACATTGAATAGAATTTCTTACTCATCGAATAATTCGTTCCTTCGAGGCGAACAATCGCTTTGCAGCGCCGACGCTGCGTGAGAACGACGTAATGACGTGACGTAAACGATTCTGATGAACATCTGAGGGAACGCGCATACGTACGATTTCGTCTACGTCTCGATGCCGTTCAAAGTGTTCGCGTCTTGCTTGGAGTCCTCCCGATTCGTCTTGGGCAAAAACACGCAACGATAGATCGAGGCCGATATAATAGCGCCCAAGAACGGTCCGATCCAATACACCCAGTGGTTGCTCCAGTAACCGTTCCAGAGGGCGGGTGCGAACGTCCTGGCGGGGTTCATGCTGCAACCGGTGTAAGGTACGAAGGCGAAGCACAGCACCGTGACACAGAGACCGAACCTGAGCGAGAGCGAGTCGATGGTCCTCGCATTCCGCGGATCCCAGGTCGCAGCAGCGAAAAATACGAGTATTGCTGTAGCTAAAAGCTCGGCCGCGACTCCGGCACCGGGTGACAGTTTTCCGTAGACGTCGTTCGTGCAGAAGGACGCGCTCTCCGTCAAATTAGAAGCGCGTAGAAGCTCATACGGCGTTATCATCTATAATTAGAATCAGACAGAAAGAGAGAGAGAGAGAGAGAAGAAAGTTAGTTCGATCTGTGTATGTGCTTGCGCCGAATAATGCGACGATCAACTAATCCGAGATACACGAGGCGTCAATAATGCCTTCCAGTTCGGGCATTTTCCGGTCGAGCGTCGCGCGTCGTGTCTACGTAGATATTTTTGTGCATGACGATTTTGCAATCGTGCCTCTGACAGCTGGGCAGCGGCGAACATTTGAAAGTGTACGATTGAAAGTCGGACGTGAACTTGCGGGATAAATAACGCAGCTCTCTGATATTATGTCGAATTAGTCGGTGAAGAAAAACGTGGCTCCTCGTTGGCTCTTTGGTCACGATGCATAATCCGAGTCGAAATTTTGATCCTGTGTTAAACTACTCTAATTCTACAACACAGTAGGAGCTAAGATAGCAAGATAAGTTCAATTTTAATTCTAATAATATAATATAACCCCTGTTTTGACCCTGATGACGTCTAAAATTTTTATTTTCGCTATTTTAGCGTCGAAGTAGGTTGTTGAAGATAGCGTTAAAATTCAATCTATAAAATTAAAGGTTCAAGAGAGACGTTAAAAGGTGTCGATATCGTCAAAATGAATTTTTATCAGTTTATAAGTCACCTAAGTAAGCGCAAAAGCGTCAGAATAGTATCAAAATTTCGACTCCGGAACATGACAGCCTGAAAATGTTAAATTGGAACCGTGAGAGAAGCGCTATCGACATTGTCCGCATCGGTCGAATCGATGCTCCTCTTCGCGGGGAAACGTTTCTGCTCGCGTCGCATGCAATGTATTCTGGTGATCTAGAAAATTCCGAGCGTTTGGACGTTGCAAATCAGAGATAAATTAATCTCTCATCACTGAGATTAAGTGAGTGTGCACGATTCGCAATAAATCTCGGAGATCGGGACGCGTGATTGCTGATAACGCATTGCGTAAGCGCACGTGTATCGACGATGTATCGACACGCGATGCTGTCCGTCGTGCCGAAATAATTCTCGCCCGGGTGTGGCCCCGCCGAAATATAATGCAGACGTATTTTGCAATTTATAAGCAAATAAGTATTCATTGACCTTTAGCAGGCCGTAACCTATCAGACCGCCCAAACATTGTGCAACCATGTAGACTCCAGCGATCGGGATAGATATGTTGCCGAGGATTACAGCCGCCGCCGTAACGGCCGGATTTAAATGAGCTCCGCTAATGTGACCGACGCACTGGAAAAAGAAAGAAAGGAACAGCTTAAGGTAGTCGTATCGTAGAGTGTCGGATTTTCAGTGACAGTATTAAGGGGCCCCTACATAAGTTTGTTATTTACTGAAAAAAAGGTTTCAAATGACAGATTCATTATTGAAATGCGTCCGCCTTTATATTTCTCTCCTTCGATTCATGTAGGGTAATTATTCATTTTCAAAGCGTAAAAGAGAGAGAGAGAGAGAGAACGAAGTAGGTGTACACAAATATATAAAATATAATATAAATATAATGCAAATATAAAATTTAAACTCATGAAATGGTCGACAGTGTGAAGTATATTTATAAAATATAAGCCGAGATACGTATAAAATTGAAATTACACTATAATAATATATACGATTTAACACGTCGATTATTTATTGCGAATAAATATGAAATCAATATCGCTGCGAAAGAGGATTAACACCTCTGATAATTGGCACTTGATTCGTTGAAAACGATTACACCCGTAAATACCTGTATAGCAGCCATGATGGCGAGACCAAAGGTGAGGGCAATTTGTATGGGCGTCGGCTCTATTCCCATAGTGCCAACACATCCCATGCATCCCAAGAACAACAGTATGCCCGTGCCAATCACTTCCCCCAAAGCAGCCAAGAATGTGTCCCACAAGGTAGTGTCCACCTTCATGAGCTTCTTCAGCCCTGAAAGGCGCATATGTATACTTCCGTGTTTAATTTACCTTGATGCGTGACGTTGATGACACCGTATTTATTGTCACGATAAATATCCGGGCGCTTATCATAAATTCAATCCCGCTTAATCTTTTAATTGCGACGCGTTCCAACTGAAAACTATATACTGCGCTGTGTATTACACGATACTCGTTTGACGATTTCTGAGGCGCGTTGCCGAAATCAAGTAGATAGTTCACGTGTTCTAACATATATAGGTCCAAGACGTTTGTTTCTGAATTACTCCGTCGAAGATAATAAAGGTGTGTTCCGAAATATATTGTTGGAAAATCTACAGTATGGTGTAAATTATAGTTTCAATACTATTAGTTCGTTTCGGGACGTAACATAAAACGGAACATTTCGTGATTTCGTTGCTCTTATCCGCATAACAAAGTTTCTGCAATCTGATTGGAATCTATCCCGATTTCTCAGAAAAATCATATTATACATTTTGTTTAGGAAATTTAGAAAGATTCGGATTAGAGGTGTAATGTTTCAAAAGTGCGATTCTAAGTTTTCTTTTCTTATAATTAGGATAAGAATGGAATTCCTCATTGGTATCGCAATATATTATGCTTAATTGGGGGGATAAGTTTGGACATCAGAATCTATATTATACTTGGGAATGTTCGAGAAATTTCCATAGTATGTATTCATTACTATTTACAACACGTAACCACATGTCTGGCAATATATTTCAGTTCAATAAGAAAATTGAACAAATTTACTAGGCGTATAAGTAAGGGCGTATGTGTACATTTACTTTCGTAGATGAGCAGTTACTTTCTCAGGGTGTGCGTACACCTTTCGCAAGTAAAGGGTTAGTGGAAAGTGAGTGTACGCATGGGCAATCACTTCCGACAAGAGATATATGTCGAACGTCTACGTCGCTCGCACGAGTAAATCGGAAAATCGCCGTGAATTATTGCACACACGGATTACGGTACTTACTATTTATAATAACTTCTGTCATTTCTGTAAAATATAAATTAACGAGTCGCGAGAGCGGCGGCGGAAAGCTGCGCCAAAGCGAGACTACGCGAATAATTTACGAATGTCGCGGGAGGAACGGGAAAAATAAAATGCAGCTTTGTGTTATGGCTTAGCAGGCATCGCGGCGAGTTCATCGTCCTCTTTCTCGCGCTTTTGTGAAAAAGTATGAAAACTTGCGTTCTCTCATTATACCGACGGTCTCGGTACACGTGCCCGGCACGGCAGCGTATTTAATTAAAAGGTAACTATTGCACAAACGAACAGTCCGACTGAGGTATACATTTTTATTTCTGCACATTAAACGGGCCGAAGCCGCTGAATGTATAATCGAGTGAAGTCAAGAGGTGAAGGCTCGCCCGTTGAATATAACCGTGGAACGACGCTTCATTTTTCCAGATAAATGTATAACGGTGGTACATAAGCGCGCGTATTCATATAGACGGCTGCGACCGGTGCGCTGGTCTTTTGAAACATTGATATAAACGATACGAAAAGCTACTCAACACACCCTACACGAGTCTGTGCTTTTTTCAAGCGTATCTTTACAAGATCCTGGGAAGAAACGTCGTTATTACACAGTAAAAGACATTTTTTACTTGCGTTGAAATCGGTCCTCGTTAAAATTTTTCTGTTAAATTTTTAACAGAAATTATGTGTTTATACATGGGCATATAGAGACAAAATTCACACAGGGAAAGAGATATAATGATTGGTAGAAGTACAATGATTAGCATATCGACATATTTAAACGGAAAACTAACTACTGTCATCGAATGTACAGCTGTTGATGACAAAATAGTCAGTCTATCGAAAAGTAATCGGTTAAGTTGATTTGTATGGGCCGTTTGGAACACGTGAAATGTGTTAAATTTAACACAAAATCTTTTACTACGTACCATTGCTTATTATTTTATCAATGTATTAACTTTACATTTTTGACGGCACAAACGGTACAGACTGCGTGTGAAAAGTATCATATGGCGAATATTATTTTTTCACATTTATCTTCTCCTACAATCCCTCCTTTATGTCGAAGTTTCATTTAGAGTAGCATTCAGTCGTTCTTCGGGGTAAATCCTCCGAAAGTATAATAGCGTGCGGCGCGCGCGGAAGGACGTTTCTGAATCGACAGGTAGGATAACTTGGACCGCCACTTTGCTGTAAACTTTCGAGTGGAAACTTTGTTCGCGTCGAACGCGATTACCACTGCTGTAAACCTAGGTAGAAGGTATGGGTCAACGTTGAATTTACATAAAAGCATCGGTAAAGTTATGCACATCGGAGGTCGAGGCCACGTTGTTAAAGAAACGCCGGACTTCGATAAGTATCTTCCGTCAATTATTAAATGCCCCCTCTCTCTATCCTCGACTGTTATCCTGGCAGGGATGACATCATTTTCTCGCCGGTGCCCGTGAACATTTCTCGATGTAATTCTCGCCCGGGATCTCGCACGTAAAATTTTCACGAGGGGGAGGGGGGCTTTGAAGTTCTCGCTCGAGGAGGCCGAAACTTGTTGTGAAGCGGAAGTGAATTACAGTTTTACACGGCGGCTAAATTAAAATACGCCCCCTTTGAGCGGACTTACCGTCGCGACGGCCGTCATTTTCGCGTTATTGCGCGTTGTCCGCGGAACCGTTCCGGTTTATTATTTCGCTCCCGCGTATTTCAGCGCGACTCCGCGAAAATCGCGTTACATTCGCGCGCAGCGGACACGAGAGATCTTTTTTCACATCATGTTTTCCCTTCGTCCTTCTGTCCGAGCGCGCGCGATATATCACAGCACCGATATGAAAAGTATATCGGCGCCGCTTATCGCGCGTGCGTTGAGTAACGATCTCGCGGGTCAACGTTATGTATTTCGAGCGCCCGATGGAAGAAAAATATATTATTTATGAAACCAAGTAATCGAACGACAGATAACCAGAGGTCACGGCTCCGTGACATCTGCTTCTGTCGTGTAACGGTGATTATTCGCGACTACTTAACGATGTGCTATTATTAAAAGCATCGCGCGCATGTTGCCGATGGATATCAAATTTCGCGATTGAAATGAAACAACCGTCAGTCACTTATTCCAAGGCAGCAGTCATTTCGAATTGCAGTCGCAGTTCCCTCAATTATTATTGCATTTCACGCTATTATTACTCTCCATCGCCGCGAAATTACTCCCTTGTACCGTCCCGACCCCTTTTTGCAAGAGGATACCAGACCCGTCTGAAATAGTCGCGACTCACCTTTCTATGTATCTTACGTGCGATGTATATATATATATATATATATATATATATATGTGTGTGTTTTAAATTAAAGAGAGAAAGAGAGAGATGAACTCAACGATACATCGAAGTGTCTCGGAGTCCCGAGCTACGAAGTACCGGCTACCCGGATTAAGATTTAAACATCATATCTACCCTCTGCCATCTGCGTTCCTTCGTCCCTCCGGCTGATTCGCTATTCCGCCTTTCGGTTCTCGGACAGAGGAGAAAAAGGGATAAGCGTGCGCGTTATGCGACACGTTTCCGCGTTTCATCCGCACCATTTCACGCGTCCGTGCGTGCGTGCGTGCGTATGTGTTTATTTGTGTGTGTAGTCTGCATCATACGTGTGTGTGTGTGTGTGATGTCGCGTTTTCTAACGGCTTATTCGCGAATCTGCCGTGCATGCGCAATTCCCCAATCGCCGTTCATACGATATTCATAACTTCGCGTACGGATGTCAATATACTTCGGGTTTAATCGCGCTTATATATATACATATCCGCCCGCGCTTCCTGGACTATACATAGGGATGCCGAAGCACGTTTGCCCTAGAATTATGGTCGAGTTCTCGTGATTAACCGTGTGTCGCGCGGATATATAATTAGAAGCGAGCACGTGTCACGTACGGTTTCCATTAACGACTGTGACACACAGCGGGACCGATAGCGATCAGTCATCGACATTCGCGGATTAGCCGGATTCTACGCGCGATGACGGAAACGTAATCCGGTGTATGCGAAGCCGCCCGAGTCACGCGCTTATCTTCCTGAAATCAAGGAAAAAAGCTTGTGACAAAATCGCGTATCGAAAAAAATCGTTCGCGTGTTTTCGATACAGCTATTTCCACCGGAGAGATTTTTCACCCCTGCGGGTTCTTCCGCCGCTTTCTCTGCGCACTTTATTCGTTAAACCGGACGCGGGAGAACGTATTTTTGTTTTGCTCACGTTCTTTCCTTTCCTTCAGAGACATTTCCCTACATTTCGGAGGGAACAATTCAACGTGTCCGTAAGAACTGACCGGTGATTAATCTACCCGCGAAGAAATTAGAACACGCGACTTTACGAGCGTTTCCGCAATTTATCGCCGCTTAATGATCCGATAGGTCGTAAAGAACGCACCGGCGGGATAAAGTGTAGAAAGCCATTGCGTTCGCGCGTGGTAACAGAAACTTCTTGGGAAAAAAGACACGCGCATACACGATCATAAATCGGGTGCGATGTAACATGCCTAATGATATAGATCGCCCGAGTAGATCTCATCTGAGATCTCCGCGGAAATGTATCCTCTCTCTCGCCGAAGCGATGCTTTCTTCCAAGTTCCGCGTAACTTGGACACGGCGATATCTCGAATCGCTAATTAAAAAACAAACCGCGGCGAATGGGAGTCGGGCCGGCGGTAATTAGCAAAGAAAGCGTCGAAGCGTAATTACGGATCGAGAAAGTAATCAACAATCCCGCTCGCCCGGTGAAATGTCCTCTGCCTTTTGTATACTTTGGTCCCGATACTTTCTTGCGTCTTTTTTTCTCCTTTTCATGAACCGAGCTATAATTCGCGACGAGATTTGGAGCGGAATTCTATTTATGAAAGTACACTTTCGTGAAGTACAATGTCATGTTTACAGACTTTTTCCTCATTTTCGTAGTTAAGTCTAAAATGAGCAAAGAGAGAAATCGTACATGCTACCTGTCAAAGAGGGGAAGGGAAGGAAGAATTCG